ATTTATCTCTTTATGATTTGAATAATGGTTAATGCCAGTTTTCTCCTCCTTAAAATGTGAATCATTCTGTATGTAAAAATGTATTGAAATCTTGATATTGCAAGACAAATTGCAGATTCGTGTCCCATATTTCTCATTAATTTTATACAATTGCTTATGTCAGCTTTCTTTTTAACCAAGAAAATTCTGCTCAATTTATATTTGCAGAGAAACTAGACCAACATATTCCTAGATATTCATCGCTTCACGCAAAAAAAAATATTATAATATACAGTAGACTAAAATTCATGGCAATATTATGACAAGTTACGTCCCTTGGGACATTCAAGATGGCCGACATGTCGCCTTATGTCGATTTATAATCTGTTACACAAATCCTTAATGTATCGTCATAGGAATAGTCTTCATCTTCAAGTCTCTAGCACTATAACGATCTGGTTATCATGAAGGATTTTTTCGATGATCGCGACTATTGTCAAACCATATACGTTTCCCATTATCCAGACTTACACACATTACATTTGTAATTATAAAGGTCATATGGATAATCGAGTATTTCAAATTATTGTCAAAGGACAGTCAGGGTTAAAACCTGTTGATGAAAGACTAGGATAATCTGATCCCATAAGGTCTTACTGTCTTCATGTCGTGAAGCTCTGTCGGTTTGTTTTCAAAGTTTCATAAGACAATTTTATTCCAGAATATGAAACTGGTTTAATGTAAAACCAGTTCGATGAAACCAAACCGATATTTCCCACTTGAACCAAGACGCCCTTTCAAACAAGCGACATATTTGTCCATGGATATGAACTATTTGTTTTGCCTTTTGTGTGTCTTCAAAAGCACTTTAAAACCTTTGCTCTGTTTGTTCCGGAAGATGAGCGACCATATGAAGTGTGCTTCAGTAGCATGAGTATTGATCAGACAAAAGACATTTTGTTCTTTGAAATTATTGTCGATTTCATCCTTGACACTCGAATGATTTCCGAAATTAGCCTGATTCCGTGGTTGATAAATTACTCATGTAAAACACTCATGTAAATGTAAAGCACTAGACTGAAGATAAATGGATGGGACTGGATGGGAGGAGATGGGATAGAGACAGATAAGGATTAAGGATAGGATATAGGATAGTACATAAATAGGATTGGATAAGATATGACATAGATAGGATATGATAGGACATAAATAGGGTCGGGTACGATTGGATGAAGGAACGAAGAAGGAACCAACAAGGGAATTAATGAATGAATAGATAGATGGATGAACGAGCGCATGAATGAATGTTAGAACGAACAAACGAACGCATGAATGAATAAATGAATGAATGAATGTCCTTAAGGTCAGGATCAGCAAGTTTTTCTACCAATCGTTATCAAATAGCTTATATACATTGAAACAACGAAAGACAAAGAACCAGATCGGGAAATAAACAAATGAATTAATAAAGAAAAGAATAATCCTGTTTTTTACAATTATTATTATCCTTAATATACAATTAACCTGAACTGGATAACACAGTCTATATAATAATCAATAGTATTTCAATATCTGGTTAATCGAAGATAAATCTATTGTCTTTTCATCGATTTGTATTAAAATATTAACAGTAAAAAATAATGAAAAATAAAAAAAATCGTTGCCATTGTTATCAGTAGTTACAGTTGTAGTATGAGGTTTTTATATTTTGTATAATTTTATACCAAATCTTTATAAATACGCACGTGCTTTTAACTTTAGCAGGTGCTCGGAATTCAAAATGCGGGAGGAGTTTGAAATCAAGGTAAGAAAATGTTCTTAGATCAAGTTTCGAACCTCTATTGAGTTTGGGATCAACTATGGTGGGTGATATTTGTCAGGACATGCTCACCCTTCTTGAACACCTGATACGACTTTGTGATTGGAATTGTCAACTCGACATCCCTTTGTAGTATACTCATAAACTCGTGTTTATATGTTATATTTATTGTAACCTTAGAGTTTTGTTTTCGTAGTAATGCCAATCCCAAATCCTATGAACTCATAACAAATGGAATTTAAAATGCAGATGGACTTTGAGATCAAGGGAGGGGAATCTTCTTAGATCAGGTTCGAGTCTGTTAGCACCTTTTGTAACATTAAATTTCGTGGAAGAGAGGGATTCTCCCAAAGGTACAAGCAATATGGAAGAGAAACTTCATTAAGAAATTGGAAGAGATGGTCTAGATCGGCTTGGTTGTTTTCTTGTGTTTATCTCCGTTGTATTCGTTGTATATCTCTTTACAGTACGGGGTTGATTCCATTCCGCCTAATGGGGATAGGCACAGAAACTGCATTGGGAAATTGGAAGAGAAGGTACTGGCGTTTCTTTGAATCATTTGATCAAGGGACCGAGTAGGGGCCATAGAATTGTCAAAGGGGGCAAATAGCACCAGACGTTTAAGAACTCTGGGGTTCATGCCCCTCAACCCCCCCCCCCTCTGGTCCCCATACAAACGTCACTGAGAGGTGGTCTAGAGAAGGCAATTGTAATAGTGTAGTTTAACTGCAATACAGCTAAGTGTGATGAATTTAATATTACTCTGAAATTGTTCTGAAGTTTGCCAGGAGACTTAGAAATTATGATTGGTGGCGAATTGTCACCAGAGAGAAGTCCCAAGTGGGTGATGAACGAACACTTAGCGTTAAGTGTTAGGCTTCACACCATCATCGGGCAATGACGGACGGTGTTTGTGTCCTGACCACAGGGACTCGTAAGTACTTAATAATATAACTTGAACGTCGTACCCCGTTGTCGCTGGATTGTCAACTCGGCTACTGGCATGCTCCCGATTTTGTCATGTTTTGGACGAGATTTTGTGTATCTGGAATTGTTTTACTTGTACGGTCTTTTAATACTTCTTATTCAAGGAACAGGGAACAGGAAGGGGAAAAGTGCAATTCCTGGGTATTATTCCTTCAGATCAACTTTAAAAGTTTAATGGGCGTTTCTTCTGTTCTGTTGTTTTTATTTGATATATTGAAAAGCAAAGTCGTTCTGGAACGGTCTTCTATTCAAGTCGAAAAAACAGAAATAGAACTAATCTAAGAAGGTGCGAAACGATTCCACCGCTAATTCAATCAACTACACATGAATTGATGACGTTAACACATATTTCGCTCTCGTCATATCTCGAGAGATTTAACGAGACAAAGTTGTAAATTAGAACCAGAATATTATTATGAAGTTATTAAAAACAATTTGAAGGTGAAGAACTTTGGAATTGTTTGATTTTATTAGTCTGTTCTTGGTGGTAGGTGGTACGGTAGCGACCTGCTGAAGACATTCAGGCTATTAAAGAAGCACGGACTGTCCAACTTAGAGCGTATACAGACGACATCCTAAGGTTAAGCCAAACATTAGTCGTTCAGTTACGACCATAACTACTGTTTCTTGAAATTTAAGGATATTTTTCAAAGGTAAGAAAGGGCTTATGTTTTTTTACATATATGCTAGCGGTGGGGCCCCCAAAGAAGTTGGGCTCGTGGATGTGGTTCAACCAGTCCCTGTGGTAGTTGAGCTACTGACAGCAGTCCTCGTTCTGTAAACAGTATTCCAGATAACTAAATAACAGTGTTGTTGAGTACATTGAGCTATTTGTGACCAATGATCCAAAGCGGAACTTCTCAATTTCAATGTTGTCTAAATTATTTATGGCCTCATACGATAATCGTTTTTCTTGAGTTCTTCGTGATTAGTTCTATGGTTTCAAAAGAGGTTTTCAGTGTATTTCTGTGCATTTATTTACATACGGCCACAGCTAATAGAAGTAGTAAAAAATTTGTCCATATTGTACGAAATAGAACCAAATTCCCGGGCCAAGTCAGAAACAAAAACGTAACGTAAAACCCCGTTTAACTTCCAGTTCAAACCTGAATGCGAGGTATCCAATATCAAAAGAAGACTGATATAATGATACAGGAAAACATTTTAATTATTCATCAGTAAATGACTTAACAACATCCATTAATTACAACAATATTTTTTTCACCCAAGCCCTGTTCTCACTATAGCTTTTATTACATTGCGTGGATAGAAACAACAACGTGACCTCCCCAAGCCCAGTGCGCACTATAGCATTTTGCATCGCGTGGATGGAAACCACAAAATCGTCGCTGACAATGTTTGACAAGAGCTCCCCTTATTTTCATCGCGTGGATGGAAACCATTATGTAACCTCCCCAAGCCCACAAAATCGTCATTGAAAATGTTAAAAGAGAGCCCCCCTTATGTTTATGTTTTCCACTAAGGTACGATTGGTTAAATGGATGGAGAACGTGTCCCTTTAAACGACCCTTCGAAGCACAAGAAAAGCTTTTAAGTTCTAGTCGTCTAGAGGGAAATCTTTAAGTCAAAATATAATACTCGTATATGACAGAGATTTCCTTTTCGGAACTAACAAAATGGTGGAACATCAGATGACAGAATCTGTGGTGTACGTCATCGATTTTTGTGACACTTTTACCCGCCCATCATGAAAGACCAACAGAAGTTGGAGATACTCCGAGTGTGGACTGTGTCATCAGTATTTGTGACAATTTTAAGCTCCTTATAATCATCAAAGGCTTTCGGTGCTCTGTTGAGGATTGTATGTTCATGTAGATCTATTCGGATTCAGGTACTGGATTAGGAAATTAATGTGTTGTACTGTGGTTTTTAGAGTGGTATTGCGAATATAGAACGCTGGTAATCGGATTAAAGTGGCCCTCACACAATAGCGATCATCCGTTGCGTATGGTTGCAAAAAAGAATAGCGGTCATACGTTTCAAACACACTCTCATAGAGCCGCAAGGCAAGACGGTTAAAATTGGTCAAAGTAATCAAGGATTTACGCCATCATTTTTTTATTTTTTCAGGGACGGAAGAAGGACAAAGAGATGGATTCAGGTAAGATTGTTTTTTTTTAAATAAACTCTTTTCAATGAATTGGATGATACCAAAAATTACCAAAAAATAGAGATTTACACCCGGTGTTTCACTATTTCAGAAATCCGAGAATTGTTTCGTATTTTTGACAAGAATCACGACAATACGATATCGTCGAATGAGCTGGGGAAAGTGTTGAAATGTATGGGTATGCAGATGTCGGATGAGGAAATCGGGATGTATATGGAGGAGTTGGATAAAGAGGGTAAGTGATCCTCATATCGTCTGATACTGTGAAAGCATCATCATATCACATGTGATCAACGATCTCCGTCTTATACCTTGATTGTGACAGCCACCTTTCAGCCAAACCTAACATTCAACTTATGAATGATTCTTCTTGTAGGTAGTGGACGAATAGAGTATCGCGAATTCCACAGTTTTATGCAAGAGGAACTAAAGAAGGCGGAAGATCCCGCCCATAGAGAACAAGCAGTCCGTAGTGCCTTCAAGGTGTTCGATAAGGAATCGGATGGACTGATAGAGCTCTCGGAGTTCAAGTCGACCATGAAGACGCTGGGGGAGCCGTTGACAGACGAAGAACTGGACGATATGCTTAAAATTGTGAACGTTACGGAAGATGGAAAGATCAATTATGAAGGTAAGCTGCCATTTGGATACTTTAATGGGGAAGGACTGTAGCTCAGAGTGTCGGAATCCTGACGTCATTTGCTTAGTTATGTCAACTGATTAGTGGTCGTTGGTTACGATCTCGATCTTCATGTGAAAGTCTTTTGTATCAGCTCAGAGTTCAATCGGAACGATGAAACTGTTCCTCTTGTGAATTCCAGAGAACTGTCATGCGCTATGTAATTTCAGTAATCCTTGGACAACGGCAAAAGAGACACGCTGTTCTAGTTCTGTTTTTGTATTCTTCCAAAGCAATGAAAAGGGTGACTGAAAATGAAAGGGGGGTTACTCTGAAGATGTTTACTTTCCTTTCAGAATTTATCAAAGTATGGTTGACTGAAAGACCCAGATCAAAAGTTAAAGAATGACGTCATCAAAATCAGTGCTTCTCGTAAAAATTTATGGTGCTGCTGACTGGTTGTTTTTGCTCAAATTTCTGTAGTCGGCCATCTCCAGACCTATGAAGATATGGAAGCCGTTTTCTTTAATTTAATGTGGCCTTTGTGTATGGTAAAGAATTGGATTGGGATTCAGAACGTTATCTGAGTGTGTACTCCGCCGAGTGAAAACTGCAACAATGTATCATAAGTGCTCATCACAAATTTTAATCTACACGTGTTTGCCATATTTTATCACATTTTCTGCACAGTTTGATACAATAACGAGCTTGCCTCAAGGGAACATAATCAAAATCGAATTTCATGATCCAAAGTCATTTTTTAATGATTTTGGTTCTAGATCTTAAATAACTTATTGGCCAATCACTATTCAATCTGAGTCTATTAACCAATCAGACGACAGTGTTTAACAGTACGGGGATGGTTGTTAGAAGCCGTACTTTAAAGATGATCGTCAAGAAATATGATTGGTTGATACTACGGTGCAGCTGCAATGGGAATTCTGAATGCTAATTTTCACAGTTATCTAAAATTAGAAGCCTTCTTGAACATGTTCATACGTACCATGATATTATGGCGCATAAATGATGAATATTGTACCAAGTTAGATATAAAGGGGCCTTCACACCATAGTGATTACCTATTGCGTGTGGTAGCGAATAAGAACAGTGGTTATAAGTTTCGAACGCCCCCACATGCAACTGGGTTGTGAGTTGCGTTAGGTTCTCATGACTACTATTATTATTAGCAACCAAACACAACTAGTAATCACTATAGTGTAAGGGCACCCTGTAAGATATAGGTTTATCTAGATTGTATATTTATTTTAGAGTGAAATCTTGCCTTTAATGTGTTCTATGCTTCTCAGTTTAGAAAAAAAAATGAATTTGAATGTGCATGCTATTTCAAATATCAGTCGAAATGTATCAAATCTCAGATACTTAACAAGGCGGGTAATCTTGATCGAATCATTGCCGAACTTGGTAAGTTATTTAAAATAGGACGCTGACTGGCGGACGACTACCCCTCTCAATACACACATAGAGGATTTACAAAATTATTTCTGCTTTCTGCTTTTATTGTTATTCCAAATTATATTCATTGGTCCGCGATTTAAGGAAAATTGGGGCATGGTCTCTAGCCCAGCCCCCGATTCCGACAGAGGCTACGCCCTGTTAAATACATTGCGTTCGGTTAAGATAACTATAATCTATTCAAAATGTGGCCTTCGTAACTTCAGTATTATCATGAAGCCATCGTGCCTAAGTCGTATACCTAGAATGTTATCATGCATCACTATAAGCACGTTCTAGTGAGAAGAGCCATCGTCAGGGCTCTAAAGTAGTCTGAATTTAGTTTCGATCAACGGGTCTCCCTTTAATTTCAAGCTTAAGTTAGTTTATGACTGGTGTTTCAATAAGAATTAGCATATCCTGTTTCTGGAATTTAGTGTCCTTTAACAAACCCAAAAATCAAATTAACATTTTAGCTTTGTGGACTCTCCTAAATAGACCCCTAGTTGGAAAACCCAGCCTCAGAGTGGCATCAAAACAATACAACCGTCCATTTCCCCATTTTGATTTTCTCTTGAGTACCACACGAAATTAGACGTTGCTTGAAATTACCCCACGAGTTATGGCCCTTGAAATTTTGTATAAGTAGTTACTGTCTATTGTTATTTTATTTTTAAGATGTGTTTGTTTGAATTTGCATCATTTTAATTCTCACGTTTGTTAATTTCCATCTTAAATAAATTGCATATTTTGTATAGTGTTGTGTTTTATTGCAAAGGTGACAGGTCTTGAAAACAGACACCGGAACCCTTTTCGGAAGCAGTGGCAGTAGCTTCGGAATTTTGTTATGTCAATCGACTCAGTCAATTACAAAGATATCAACAGGAAATAATGTTGCAGGCAATCTTTCGCCGCAGTCGTGCAAAGATAAAGTGGGACTAGATCATAGAGGCTAAGTGGAGCAAAGACAACTATCTACATATCAACGTCGATATATCAATAACGTTCAAAGAAAGTGTAAGCAAAGGGAAGCAATCGCAATTAACATGATTGAAATATTGCTACAGACTACTACTAACTTAATATTATGGTCGCACATAATGAACAAAATAATTTGTTATAACAATTACACTTTATCAAAGAAAATTTTGAAGCATAAGATAAGCCCTTTACTGCTGAAAGAGGGGGTACCATACGTCACAATGTATTCATAAGAAGCACAATTCAATGATAAATCACGGATTGGCAAACTATTTAAGAGAAAAAACAATTTCACGTTTACAAATACAGCAAAATAGACCCAATCTTAACACCTAATATTCGAATATGATCGAAAATTCAATCAACTGCTTCTCGCTCTGAGTTTAAAGTCGCAAAGGGAGATTACACGGGATACCCACAAGCCTCGTTTTCAATAAGGTCATCTCCCATTAGTGACGTCACACTTCATGTTGGAACGAAAGAATTTCCCCATTTTAGCCGAGAATCCCGACATTAAATAGCTAATTGGAGACAAAGTGTACGGAATATTTTCAAGTTTTGTGTATTGCTGTGTTAAATGACATTATATTGGATGTTTAATTGAAGAATGGGTGGAATTCAAGCATTGTGAAGCTCATAAGAGCTGATTTTGTGCGGGGGATGCCACGCTCGAGAAAACTCTCGACTCAGTCCCCGTTGAAACGTATGTATTTTTCTTTTAAATTCTCATTAGCATAGACTTTTTAAAAACATTTTTTTATAATTTATGTTCGTCAATGGACGACAAATGTATATACTGTCGAAATATGCAAATATTGAGACCATTCTTAGCAAGGGGGTCGAGTTTGAGGCGATGATTTTTGGGGAAATACCACGTTCTCGGTGATTGCCATTGGGGTGTCCTTATTTTGCTCGGCATTTTCGATCATTATTTATGCAGGAAATTTAATTAGGTTACACAGCAGACGGCTTCGTGATTTCTGCTTCTGGTGTCAATATATGGCGGGAAAGATGTTCTCATCAATCGCTAGGAATGAATTCGAGAAAATCGGGCTTGAACTTAAGGATTCGTCTTGTAATTCGGAGAAATTTGGTAAACAAGCCAGTTCGTTATGGGGATGGCGGTCATATTGGAATGTTCTATTTGTAATATGTGGAGGGGTGACAGGTTGTTTTTGCGTTGCCGTGATTTATGAAGCGTTCAGAACAATGTAAAATGTCATGTAAATTTCTCTGAACGTAAGATCAAGCAATTTTTAATTTTTGAAAGATAAATTTGTTCGTTGAAGCGGTTTGCAAATTGAATTATGGCTGTTGACTGTCGCATGCTTCATTGTTATAATACACCTGGTTTCGTAATTCGACTGAATACCGGTTTAGTCTCGTGATCGTGTCTAAAACAATACAGAATATCTTTACATTCAGTTATATATTTGAGGCTGCCTGTTCGTATGGAGTCACACCCATAAATCGAGCAAATAAGCGAAAGTATTCGCCATGGCATTAAAAGTGAGAAAGGAATACCGAACCCTAGCCACCCAATCGCCTAGCAGACGACATTACTATTACTAGGGTCCTAATGTCGAAACTGACTTGATCTTGTTAATGGATTAGCGCTAATCTCGTTGTCTCGTTAAGTGCTTCGTGAGCAGATAAAGCAGAGCTACTAACTTAGTGATTTGATTTCGGGGAAATCTTGCATAAGATCCGGTAATCTTATACGATAAAAATTTGTTCAACACGCGATGTGATTAATGAACAATACATGAAGTAATACACCCCTTGGATTAAATAATGAACTAATCCAGCTAAAACTCCCCTTGGCAAGCTTCCAATATTGTGTGGAGTTTCGGGGTGACCCAAATATACAGACTTCTTTGTACTTGGCAACCATCGATCAAAACAGTCTTGTGACTTTCATTTTAACTAACAACTGCAGGTATACGAAATAATCCTTTTAGTTGTAAGCCGAGTTGAGGAAAACAGTTTTGGGTTAAAATCGATAGGGGCGGCATTTTTCAACAATCGCGTGGGTTCTCCCGAAGCTCGCACTGCGCCAAACCGGTAGTAGAATTTAGGGGCCCTGTAAAGAACAATTCGTAACTTACTTAACCAATTTTGGCCAAAAAAACCTGAATTATATAGAGTAGTTAACGCGAAAATTGTTCATGATTAAAATTATGCAGTTAGACCAAAGAGGAAGTGCATAAATTAGTAAAACCCACGCAGAAAACCTGTGGGAATCCCCGATTTTCAATGACGTCATTGTCGCTTTGGTAACAAGTGTCAGATGGGTGTTTCCCACTACTGATTACGAAATGTCGTGTAAGAACTGGGTCTAGAGATCAACCGAGTCACCAAGTCGATGTCAATAGGCCACAATTCTTGTTATGTTGCATAAGTTTTATACTTATTAGCATAATGCTGTCAAATAAAGGCCTGCTGTTAAAATGAAAAATTAATTCCGCTAAGAGCATAGTATTCTACGTAGGCCTACTATAGACGATGTTGTTTTGTACAAATGCTATCTCACATCCGAGTTGTGATATTTGATCCTATTTCGACAAGTGTGGGTGTTGTTTGGGCACGGCTCCGCGGAGTCGTAAATGAATAATGCCTC